ACACATCTAGAAAATAGCTTCCAGATATTCAAAAATCAATAATTTATTATGAAGATTTGTATCTTAAATATAATGCCAATATACTTTTCAGTTAGAGTTAGCAATTGATATTTTGCAGAAATGTACTTCAAATATATCATATTTTATAAAATGTAAAAACCAGAAAATGTTCAAAATTCTGATTCTCAAATGTTTTGGGTGATTGTGCGAAATTCAAAATTACGACAAACCGAGGGTTTTGCCAGAGCTGGTCACATATATATATTTATCTTTATTTATTTACTTAATTTATTAATGACTCAACTATAAGAGGTTTATTATAAGGCCAAAGTATGATGCATTGCCCTTGCGCAGTGGCAATTTTTATTCAGGGTCGGTCATTCAGGATTTTTTTTTTCAAAGTAGACTATAGGTTCAACTCCAGAACTCATTGGCTATACCTTTTTTATGTTTCATACTAGAATTTCATGCTCCTTTTCATATCTATTTAAAGGCTCACAAGCTTATATCAGATCACTGCAAGGAACTTGATAATGTTACACGGCAACGATATGGACCTGATGGCCACTCAGCTGGAGGAGGGGGAGGAGGAGGCGGAGCATCTTACATTGCTATGGTAACTGATTCATTACGAGAGTGTCTGAAAAAATGTGATCAATATTAAAGTTGGTTAAAGTTGTATTACAAAATATATGGCCTGTCTGTATTTTTTCCCTTATTACTTCATCATCATCACATACAGTATAACCGATCTTAAAAAATCTACACTGGCTCTAAGTATAATAATAATAATAATAATATTAAGATGTGAGTTTGTGTCAGGAAAATATCATAGCAGTGATGTTTCAGTACGTTCCCAAATACTCACTAAAAAAATTTGCAAGTGATTTGGGTGAGAATTGAACCAACAACCTCCAGATAAGTAGCCAGCCGCCAAAACTTATAGTCAACGTGCCTTTCATTTTCAGGTTTCCTTTACTTAGCATCCTTGCCGCTTTCAGTTTAGTATTCAGTTTAATAAGTCTAATTTGCTTTCTTTTAAGATAAATTTAGCATTTTTGATAAATTTTGAATTTTTACTTTATAAATATTTTTTTTCATATGTATGATGTATGTATATAATAATAATATGTTATTGTTTAGTTTAACAAGACGAGTAGGGAGTGGTACCCTTTGTTGGTTGCCGGTGGTGGGGGCGGCCTTGGCTTGTCTGATCAGAAGTTACAGGATGGTAAAAATGCTGGAATACTCGATGCCGGCCTTGGCATCAATGGAGTTATGAACTATAATGCATCTGATACGTCAGGTAGGACAATTTTTTATATATTACTTTAATATGCTAAGAATGTATATTTTTTTATTGATACATACAGTGTGTGTGTTATATTAATGTATATTTTTGTTATTGATATGTACCATAATATCAGGGGAGGATCCAGAATTCAAACAGGGGGCACAACAGTTTCAGAATAGATAAGTGAGTAGCACAATACAATTAATATGCATTGAAATTTTTTTTAATTTAGTGGCAAACCAGGGGGTGGGGCATGTTCCCTCTCCTAGATCAGCCCCTGAATATATAAATATAGCCAGAGCCAGTCACATTTTGTACATATTATGGTAACACTTGGTAGACTTTAATTTATAACTATTTTTTTCAAAACCACAATGTTTCTATCTTGTAACAATTCAAAAAAGTATATCTTATCCATTTATTAAGCTGAAATATCATAAATTGAAAAATAATGATGAAAACGAAAATAAATTCATGCAAAAATAATTTTCAATGATGAATTAAACGTAGAACCACCTTTTACTGTTGGGGTTCTTTTCGAAAAGTAAATAAAAACAATTAGAAGCAAGAGACAAAATTTAAACTAAACACTTTTTCTAAATTATATTTTTTGAACTGAATAACAGGGTCTGGTGGAGGTTGGAATGATAGTGCAAGTTATCGGACGTCTGGGAGCTCATTTTTCCAAGGAGCAACGGGAGGACAGTCGTGCATTGCTGCATTTTACGATAATCGATGGACTACAAGTGGTGGCTTTGGTGGGGGTGGGGGACCATGTGTGTCTGGGGGAGGTGGCGGTGGTTACACAGGTATGATATTTCCTGTTGCTCCTGTACGTTCTACTTGGGATATTATGAATTAGAAAATATTGAAAGAAAATTATGATTATTTTAATTATTGTTGCTCTTTCCATTGCGTTTTGTTAAATGTTAAAGACATTAAACTATATGAACATATTTTAGTGCTGTAGCTGGCTTTTTAATAGTAGTGACCTGGGTTCGAATCCTTTGATGGATAAGGTTTTCTCTAAGATATATTGAGTTACTTTAGAGACATAATGAAGTCCTGTAATTGGTAGCTAAAAGACTTTTCTTTAAAATAAAACATTAATAATTGCAATCAGGAGAGACTTTATTTATACTTTGTTTAGCGAACCCATCACCCGCAAATATTGATGATTTAAAAAAAAAAAAAATTTATTACGCCCTCCGCTGCCTTGAAATCACCAAAGATAAGATATGTATATTTCTTCCTATTTATATAAATTTGAATCATTTAACCATCCCATTACTAGACTGTTTATATTTACCAATAAAAAAGTTTTCGAAACAAGTAATAAAAAGTGTCACCTAATTTGCAATACATGAAGTAAAATTTGTCAGTGGAAACAACCTGGGAGCATGGGTTCGAATCCTGAGATGACCATATTTTCAAAAAATATCTATTATATAAACAGTTATAAGATTGAGTGAATTTTTTTTTTTTTTTTTTTTGTAGGTGGTAGTGCAAGCTTGACCAAAGATATGAAGGCTTATGGATTTGGTGGAACATCTTATACAAGTTCTGAAGCAATGTTGGTTTATCAAGAAATAGGTATAGACTGTTTTAAGAATACTAACATGGTCAATTGCATGTTTCTGAAACACCCCTTTAAAATAATAGAATAATATAAATAAATTCAAATGGCATAGACTTAGAAAAATATACTTAAATCTATAAAAAGAAATTAATTACTGATTTATTTTTTTAGGGAATCATGGTGATGGTGCTGTCCAAGTTTCTGCAACAGTGTCATGTGACCTACTGGAGAATTTATCACCTGATTTTTTAGGATGTGTGTGTAAGTTTTAAATAAGACAAAAAAGCATAAGATTTATATCCATAAGTACAGTACATGTCTCCCCCTAATTAAAGACCACTTTTCTGTGGACCCAAAACAGATGTTGTGTATCTTTATTATTCTAATTATTAGAGGTTATAATCTGCTGAAGACCATTAAAACCCCAGTCCCAAAAGTGGTTTTTAATTGGAGGGACACCTGTATTCGCATTCAAGATGGTGTGTCAATAATTTAGAATTTTATTCAATATTCTCATAATTACATTTAATTAAAATGATTTCACACTTGTTGAAGATTTTTCGACTGCTGCTAAAGAGTGAGTGCCCTTTTAGCAACCTATGAATAATTTTTGTTATTGGATGTAATTTATTGCGATGTCAATTTTGTACCTGATATAAATATTACCGGAATTTTTTCATGATGTTAGAGATGTTCATTCAATTTTTAAGCGGATTACTCAAAGACAACAACGATGACGAAGGAAGACAAAGGAAATAAAAAAGTCAGAGCCATATATTATCCTGTGCTCATCATTATCTTTCTGGTGATAATCTTTAGTTATTGTAAGTTCATCAAATCGAGCAAAAAGGTGCTAATGCCATCGTTCACTGACACTGCACCTTTTATTGATCCACTGCCCTCTATAAATCACAGTATTTTTTTGTTTTTGTTTTATCACCCTCTATATCTAACTTTTTTTGTTTAATGCTTTCTGTTATAATAATATTATTATGTTAGTGTTTATGTGTTGTGTATGTTTATGTGTTAGTATAATATCTGATAATAATAATAATAATAATAATAATAATAATAATAATAACATTATCATAATTGTAGGTTTTCTTATGTGTTTTCAGCACCAACTACTCCTTCACCGCCAGCCAAATCTAGCTCGATTAAATCCGCAATAATTGTTGCCATATCAATAGTGGTTGTTCTACTACTAAGTTTTATTTTACTGCTAATAATATATTGTGAGTATAACAATTAACATCTTATAATATGTAGATTCACATGGAGGGTCCAGAAAGGGGCTGGGTAGACTAAGAGAAAAATTTATAATATTATTATCATCATAATATTACGCCTTTTTGTTGACTAATTTCCTTCATTGTATCATCATAATACAATTAACAAATTTTTGTGTTTCATAGTTTATCATTATCAGTCATATTTAATGAACTGCCTTTGTACTTAATATAAAAACCGATAAAAATTTATCAAAATAATTATATAAACAACTACTGTTAAAACAATAATAATCATTATTTACTCAAGAATATAATGAATATTAGTCATTGAGATATTAACAGTGTTTTGTAATGATGCCTGTGTTAAAGCACTATATATTTATATTTATACATTATTTATTATGACCATACAACTATTATTTAACCCACTTTCTCCACCTAAATTTTTCAAAAATTATAAAATAAAATGGAGAGAAAAAAAGAAAATTGTATTCAAATTTAAGTCTTGAGAGTGCCATAGTATCCGGCCATCTTGAAGTTCCATAATCATAAATTTTTTTACCTCAATCCATTAATCCAAGATCCCTGAGGCATTAATGCCTACCTAACTTTAAGTTATTGTGAACTGTATTCAAAATTTCTAGCTAATTTTATGTTAGTTATCCTGGAATAAAATTTTTGGAAATTCATTATAAATAACTTGTATTCATTCTAGTTTACCGGCGTCAGTCAAAGAAATTGAAAAATATTGAAGAACAGATTCCGGCAGTACAGCTAGCCAAGCTGCGTGAGAACATATCAGTGGACGTGAATCCATGTTACTTGTTGGGTGATGGGACAGTGAGCGCTAGCGATCTTAAAGAGCTCCCTCGCAATCAGATCAAATTAGTGAGGTAATACTTTAAGATTATCAACCATTACTATTATACATTTTATAGTTATTAATTCAAAAGTTTTATTATTGTATTGTTATTATTGTTGTTGCTGTTGTTGTATTTGCTCATTCATTCATTCATTCTTTATTTAGCCTTTTATAAAAATCACATTACAATTTGCACATACAGTAAAATAGAAATTCACAATACAGAATAAAACTGAAACTCTAAGGAGGCAAGGATTAACAAAAGCAATTAAAATCAAGCTAGTTAATCCATCCTTACACAAACAGCAATTTAAAATAGAAGATATAATATATAATAAAAATTTATAATACTTAGGAAGAAAAACAGAAGAGATTTAAAAATGAGACTTGATCATTATTGCAAAACAAAAAATTAGAATTTAAAATTATAAGATTAAAAATTAGAAAAAAAAGAATAAAAATACACAAAAATCCTTGATCCACCCCTGCTCAGGTGGACAAATCCTGTCTCTTATACACATCGAGATGTGGATAAGAGACAGGGATACACCCACACATACAGTACATACTTGTACACACACCCCCAAATATAAATAAATTAATTGATGTTGATGTTATATTACTATCTTTAAGAAAAATATAATTTATCAATTATTTTTCTTTCAGGGCATTAGGTGAAGGGGCATTTGGAGAAGTGTTTGAAGGCACATACAAAGTAAACAGTTTTGAATCAAAACAAATTGCAGTCAAAGTAAGTAAAATATATTTTTTGCAGACATGCCCTTGATATTGCTTGTATCCCAAGGCTTCTTTAGGGCCCTACCATGAGCCCAAACGCCCCGGGGGTTTTGTTGTATTTGACAGTCTATTTCGTGAACACTTACCAGGTAAACCGACTAATTGCCATTGTTCCCGAAACAGAACACCCCTTCGAATGAAATATAACAGTCCAACCCAGAGCGCTGCATACGAACCATCTCCCTAACAATAGTCCTCATTCCCTATTCGACAGTGTTCATATAAGGAGCTCCCTTCGATGCTTTTTAAGAAAGTGTTTTGATCGATTTTTTACAAATTAGTGCTTTTTTAAAAGGCCTCCTTGGCCATTATAATATGCAGAAAAAATTCTGATAAATATGCTGAGACCCTTTTAAGAGCTGGGGCCCTTGGCTTTAGCCACTGCTCATCTGTTGCTAAATGTGTTGTATTGCAGCAAATATATTGAATTTAATTATCAAAATTTTTCTAATATCCATGCAGACATTACCAGAGATATGTACGGAACAGAACGAAAAGGACTTCTTACTAGAAGCAATGATCATGAATAACTTCAATCATCCAAACATAGTTAAATTCATCGGTGTTTGCTTCACCCAGCATCCACGCTTCATCATCTTAGAGCTAATGGCCGGTGGTGAACTCAAGCAATTTCTACGAGATAACCGGCCTGTTCAGGTATCATGAAATGTTATTCTTTATAATAAGGGAATTTGAACAGTTGCTCTATCTTATCAATTATTAATTTAAGAAATCTAATTACTTTTGATAGAGTTTAGTATTTAGGTTATTTGTATGAATAATTTACTGAGTGCTGAGCGGTTGGCTGAGAGATATTTTTCCTACTTCTTTTGCTGAATACCCCACTTCAAACTGCACCAGCGTCAAATTTTAATTGAAGTCTGATCGCTGGGCTCCTCGAATAACCCTCACATTGAGAGTTTGATGAGAAAGGTACATGTATCTATATGTATCCATTACATGTTGTAGTTATAAGTTGAGTGGTGCTGCACTCGGCTGCCACGCGTCCCTAGTACAAATAAAATATTATTGTTATTATTATTATTATTATTATTTATTATTATTTTCTTAGAATCAACCCAGTAAAATCAAAATGCTAGATCTGCTTCATATAGCAAAAGACGTAGCCCAAGGATGCTGTTACCTGGAGAGTAAGAAGTTCATTCACAGGGACATTGCAGCACGGAACATCCTGCTCTCCACTCACAGCGCTGATAGAGTTGCGAAGATTGGAGATTTTGGAATGGCTAGAGATATATATGGGTATGTGGTGATAACATCATTCATTTATTTTCTGATTGTACTAAAATATCATCTGTGAGAACAATGTAGTGTTTCCTGAAAGCATGGCTGAATCAAATTATGCCTCATTTTCTTAAGCTTAACTTACCTAACTGATGAAGTATTTTCAGTAATGGGTACATATTACATAATCATCCTCATTCTCTTTTCCCTTTTTAATATTGCATCTCTGGCACATAACTGATAATACAATACTATGTTACTTTCAATTATTGACCAAAATGCAATTATATTTGGCAGTTGACTGAGGTCATGTGTTTAGTTACATTTGGTCATAATGGAAGCATTTGTTTGGGTGAAATATTTACAGTAGTGGGTACATATTACATAATCTTCCTTATTCTCTATTTGCTGTTTTATATTGAATCTGTAGCACAAAATAGATAATATAATCCAATGTTACTTCAATTATTGACCAGAATGCAATCATATTTGGCAGTTGACTGAGGTCATAGGTAACATTAGGTCATAACACTGAGGCCTCGAGCCTCTCTCATCAATGTTACGGTTTCTGATAAGACCCTATATTATTAGGATCTATTATTTTCTCTATTGTGTAACATTCAGTTCCATACATTTGATTTAATTACATTAAAAGTTGCTGCAGGCGAACACAGCCATATGGAAGTTATTACCTCTAATTGTTCTCTTCTCATCGGTATAGAGCTGACTACTATCGCAAGTCAGGCCGAGCATTGCTTCCTGTGAAGTGGATGCCTCCGGAAGCATTCCTTGATGGGATCTTCACAGCCAAGACTGATATTTGGTGAGTTCATGCCATTAATCTTTATTATCTCTGCCATGGAGGTTATGTATTCACCCCTGTCTCTTAAATTAAAGTGGCGAAATTATTAAATATGGCACTGTATTTGTGGAGAAATTTATCCACTTGCAGTAATGGCCAATTATGATAATGATCAGCCATAACAAGTAATATTTGCTTTTTGTTTCTAGGTCATTTGGTGTCCTCCTGTGGGAGATTATGTCTCTGGGATATATGCCATATCCAGGAATGAGTAACCAAGAAGTGATCCAGTTTGTATCCACTGGTAACCGCATGAGCCCACCGAGTAAATGTCCACCGCAAGTGTAAGTAACTCAATTATTGGTGGTGATTTAGATGGAAACATATTTCAAATGTTGCAACAGCTGTCATTCTTACGTGTTATTCTTTACATTCTATCAACAGAGTTAAACATTTCTACTGACATGTAGGGAAAAGACGAAAATATAAATAATAAACATTACAAACATTATAGACAACAGATTTTTATCTGCCAGTCTGCTAAAAACACATTTAATCAGACTCAACAGGGGCAGATGTAGAGGGTGACCTAAATAGTCTCTGGCCACCTCCCCCCCCCCCCCTTTCCATATAGCCTAGTAAGTTTTCCTAAATGAAAACTTTTTCCTAAGATCTGAAAATATCAGAGTATCAACCAATCTCGAATCTTGTGGGGACCATACTCCCGAGGTGGGTGGTGATTCAAACCATCTGAAAATTTGATTAACCCCCCCCCCCCAATGAAAAATCCTTGATCCACCCCTGCTCAGGTGGACAAATCTTATCAACCAAATTAAATCTTTTTTTAATCATTTATTCCATAAATTTGTTTTGAATTAAAGTGCAACCTGGTGGCATATTTTACATTTTTTTATATTAAAAGGTGCTTTACTGAAAGTTATACTAAATACAGTAATTCTTGTATGTTTCTTTTTTTGCAGGTATAGTCTAATTGAAAGTTGCTGGCATGAAGACCCAGAAGAAAGACCATCCGCACCTTTGCTACTGGAGAGGATTGGCTATTGTTTACAGGTGGGCAACTATCAATTTGAAATTTAGATTTGGAGCAGATTGAAATTTTGCAATAAGAATTTTACAATAATATGGTGCGTTGGTGATGACGTGTTCCGACACAAATTACCCAGATAAGCAAATGCTTCTGTTTGCTCAAATTTAACAAATTACACCTCCTAAAAACAGATTTATTCAGTGTTAACACCAAGGATGACCCTCAAAAGTCTGAGGAAGACTTATTTTCAGGGGTCCTTCTGGTGGTGGTAGGGCAGTACACCGGCAGACAATCCCCTGCTCTTTCTTTAACCTGCACATGGGCCATAATGCACATGGGACCAATGGCTTAAATCTCTCATTTGAAAGACGGTGCGCTATCATAACTTGCATTTCAGCCCTCTAGTTGAAATACAAGGAGTGCAGCGATGGGAATTGAACCGGGCATCACCATGGTTCAGTACACACACAGTGGCTACCACCAGATTAGAAGCCTGAGCTATGCTCACACATACTAATGCATTTGTTCTTATCTTTATCATATCTTAGGATCCAGACGTGCTTTCTTCACCTCTTCCAAACACATTTCCGCAGTTGAACCGCCAATTAACTGTAAATAGACCTGCTGATCTTGAGAACTCACCAACATTGAAAGTGGAGAGATCAATAACTAGTGAATCGCAAAGCCCAACAGAGTTTCAACCGAATACCTTGGAGGAAAATTCAATTGATGTACTCCAGGCTTCTGAAACCAATGAAAATGTATTCAGTCGTCAAGACAGTTTACGCCAGTATCAGTTTCAATTCCCGCAAGAAGAAAATTACCAATATACGTCAGCCAACAAAATGGATGCAAAGCAAAGACAATCATTATTTTGTAACCGTGCCTATCAGTACAGTGCAAGTTTGGGGGAAGAGGAGCTTAATCCTCTTTCGCAGAGCTTCCCGCGACCGTATTGTCGCAGTGTCAGTACACCAGAGGATAACGTGGGTTATCCATTGTTAACACATAGTTTCAACATTCCCAATAAGAAGAGTCGAGATGATGGTGATATTGGCTCTGCTGGATTACTTGGTACTAATCCTTTCCTACCATTAGTAAAGAAAAGCAGTAATCCATTCACAGGACCTATCAAAGAGCGCACAAGTTTGGATGAGTCTTCAGGATTGTTGGATTATACAAATGAGAGCACAACTTCCTCGAATATGTCTAGTATGCAGGGGTCATCACGGAGCTTAGAAAATTCAAATAATGAAAACACGGATGGATCTGAACTATCTGTTGATGCAGATGGCTATGTGAGATTACGAGAAAGACCGCGATCGCGTCCTGGCAGCAGGCGCGGCAGCGCCCCACGGACAAATGTCCGATGCTCAAAAACCCTGAGCGATGTTGAAATTGGTGCCATGTGTGATCCTTCAAGGTCAGAAGCATTTTCTGGTAATATCGGCACAAATCCTAGATTGTCTCGCAATGTTGACGGCTGTGCTACCTTCCCTCGTAGTAACTCAAAAAGTTCAGAATCCGATGACACATTTAATAACCACCATTGCTCGAGGAAAAAAAGTTTAAAGAGACAGAAAGACAATGAAGGTGAAACGGGACAACCTAGGGATACATCAGTGAAATCTTATGAACCAAATACAAATGAAGCAATGGTGTCTCCCGGGCGTGTTCTTAAACAGGACCAACACACTGGGATCTTTTTGTTTGAGGATGAAGCAAATGCAGCAATAGTTTAGAATGTTAAGTGCATGGTGTGTCACATGCATGTTGGTGGGTGAAAGGGTGGCTATGGCCCTTAGCTGGGTAGGTTGGTGTGTGTGTGGATGGATGAATGGACGGACAGATGGACATGTGGATCTAGGTGGATACAGAGACGGACAAACATATGGATGGACAAAGAAATGAATGGAAAAATAATATGGATGTGTGAAAGGACGAACCAACAGATATCCAGGGTGGGTATGAATTGATGGATATGGATGGTTTGGTAAATAGATGGATTGATGCTTCAATAAATAAATGAATGGATGGATGGAGGGACTGAATGAACAAATAATTAAAAGCAACCTACATTGCAATAATACTGTCTGGAGTGATTTGTGCTACAGGTATTATTAATAGTGAATTCAAACACAAGAAAAATATGTCAGTGCAAAATATATGTTCATTAATACTGTATTCATTAAAATAGATTCATTAATTATAGTTAACACGATAGTGAGTGTATAGAATAGTCAGAATACATTTACAGGTACGTATAATTAATTTCTAATTAGTAATTATATTAAAATCAAAATAGATGTCTCAACTATCTTATTCATGCCATGGTGATGAGGAAGCAAGTTAATTAATGTGGCAATCAATCCAGTACTATAAATATTATATATTTTACATATACATGTATATTTAGCCTTTTTATCTGAAGATTGTCAATTGTGTCATGAAATTATGTAGTAATAAAGGTCTAATCAAATGTATTGTTGAATCCTGTACAGTATTTTATTTTCACAATTTTGCTCTGGATGACTATTGAGCACTCTGCAGATG